TGGCAGGTCGTCTGGGAGGGTTTGCTCGAGCGTGAGAGTTCGTTTGACAATCTGTTGGGCGTACGTGCGCTTCTTCATAGGGTTGCCTGATAACTCCAGCGCCTCGCCAGAATTCTCAGGCTTCGGCGACGACTTCATTTTTATTTTTTTTGAAACGACACGTTATAATGCTAATTTAGATTAAAATTCCTGCTTGTCTTTTCCGATAAATTTGCTGTATCAAATGGTTTAGCAATGTCATCCTAATTGAATTGCTCCCAAATTTTCTGTGGTTTAACACAAAATTATGGCTGCATTCATGTAATTTGATCACTTTTTCTTTTTATGGTTTACTAACTAGAATAAATGGTGCGACTAACGAAAAAACTTAGTATCTATACATAATTATCGATGAAGGGCTCGATATAACTTCTCTAGAGTTATCACACCCCAAACTTAAGAAATTGCTCCTTCTTGAATAATCTTCTCTCTCCTTTCCATTTTTTCTTTTTTTCATTATCAATTTTCCTCTTTTTGTATTTTTGTTAGAATATTCATCCAAACAGGATTGAAACCACATTCTTTATACTCATCACTCAACTCAATTTTCCCCATGTATCACGCTACAGTTAGAACTATGCCCTACAAGAAAAATAACACATTTCTCATTTTCATCATAGTTCCCAAAACACTTCTACTGTTACATTTGATTTTGTGACCTAACCTCATCATTTATTTTCTTATTTTCTTTTTAATCTTTTTTCTTCTAAGAATTCTTCAAATCATCCCCTATTCTTTAAGTGTCTCCAATTGTGGTGTAAATCACATAAATCTTCAATGGATGACTATGTAGGCTAACACTCATTCCCCCTTAGTTCTACTCTCTTGCTAGCATCTTGAAGTTTTGACCACAAATGTGAGGCAAGTCACCTAAAAAAAATAAAGATAACTTTTAGTTCCTACTCCCTATAATTCAAACACTTCCCTTAGTGATGCTAACAAGCCATGGGGGATATTTTTCTCTCTCTCTTTTTGTTTGTTTGTTTTATTAAGAATTCAAGCTATATATATATATCTATTCTTTTTTTCTTTTGTATGTGTGGGATGGTAGAATTGTTTAAATATCCCCAAACTTACACTAACTAATATCCTCAATGAGCATTGTTGTACGTGTAGAATCATTATTGGAAGGTGTTAGAGGGGTGATTGCTCTCGTTTGTTATTATGATTATTTTGGGAAAAATGGTCTTAAGATTAGGTTGAGCATTGAGAATTTTAGAGACTTACTTGGATTATAATGAATGGGAGCCTTGACTTTCATGAATACTCTATGTTTTGAATTGAGTTTTTAAAATTTTTCTTGTCACAGCTTTAGAACAACACACCTCTAATCTTGTTAATTTATTTATCATAGATAAGCATTTTACATTGGGATTATGCCGATGATTACTAACTTTGACTCAAAATAATAAGTACCACATACAATGGGTTGAAGTACCACATACAAAGGGTTTAAGTGCTTGATCTATACCCCTAATTAGTTCAAACAAAGAAACTATCACCACACATGCAGGAACAAAAGGACTACAATTTCATAGGTAGACAACAAAATAACTCAAGTGTGAGTGCAATGCAAGTGCTTTTTGTTGTCTTTCTTTTCAGCCATTTGTTACTTTGACCGTAATTCTCCAACAAAATTTTCATTTATGTTATTCCTTTCTTTTTCTTTCTTTATTTTCTATCATCTCTATTATCATTTATTTTCTTGTAATTTGAAGCAAATCTCAAAAATATATTTTCGTATTTGGTATAGAATGACTTAACCGCGACCTTATGTTGTATGTGTAATTGTGTTCCCACAATTACCTTTTACCTCACGACCTTAATTATAGTAAATAATCATATAAAGTGACATTTTTCATAAAAATTAGAATTCATAACGGACATACCAACAATTTAATCTCAACGATAAATTTAGAATTAATATATTTAACCATAGAAATAATTTAATCTCAACCAATTAATATATTTAACCATGAAATCAAGCATGGATAAACTTCTAAACAAGGTGCAAGTGAACTATTTTGATTAATAAAATAAAAATGGTAGTCATACTAAAATCAAGGAAACTAAAATGATCTAATTCAAGAAAAGAAACATCAACTTTGTTTAGTTGGAGTTTGTTATATTTTTGGCAAATTGTGGCCACCTCCCTCATTCTTTTTTCATTTTTTTTTTTATCTTATCAAAGTGTAAAAAATGTAATGCCTTTTTGGTATTTTGCATCTGGTAGCATCTGGTAGGGTTAGGAACAATTCCGTGAAATAAATCATTCATGCATCAAATAGTTCTCTTCTAAGATTAATCCAAGATCATTTCATTTCTTATGCTTATATTATCCCTTCTTTTGGTATCTTTTTGGTAGTTAATGTAACATTTAACAAATTCAGCAGCCTGGTCAAAATAATACCAAAGCAGCTCTCATTTTAGTTTGTGGTGCACATCTTCTTGTTATTTCATCTCTCCTTTGTCTAAACAAATAAGAGTCATCCTACAATATATCATGAATAAACTTGTCAATAGATTTAAATTGTCGTTCTTCCCGTTAAATCTTATGCATACACAGATAAGGATTGATTCCCTTGATATCTGTAAGTGGCCAATTTATTGCTCGTTTGTGCTTATTTAACATTTCTAGAAATATATTCTGTTAGACTAAAATAATGTCGCTCAGATGATGATTGACAATATTTCCTAATCATCAAGATATGCATATTTAAAATGAGGAAGTAGTGACTTCAAGTCGAACTGAAGTACTTCCTCAATAGATGACTTCATTGGTAAATATTTTCTTTCTAACTCAAGTGATTCAAAAGCTTTTATGAACCCTTCTTTTTTGTAAATATTTTCTTTCTTCTAACTCAAGTGATTCAAAAGCTTTTATGAACCCTTCTTTTTGGCTTTTTGGCACGTTATCTCAAATTAATTAATTGATGTTTTGGTCAAAACGAACCTATACTCAATTATTAACAATGATCAGTATTTTGAATGGTACACAATGTAAGGTTGGAAATAACGATTTCAGCACCTTTTTTCGATCACTCAAATCATAGCTAAAACGAAGAAGTTTCAATCAAAACACGATACCCGATGTTATGATGTGGTTCCAAGTAACAAATGGTGGAGTTTTCAATTGCTTTAAAATCGAAATAAAATTATTTGAATTATAAAAATAAACCGTTACTCACACTATTTTTATTAATACTTTTTTATTCTATTAATACATTTTAAAAATATATATAAATAATACAAAATGAATTTGAAATGTTTTAATATTTATTTAATATATATATATATATAAAACATGTGGTCCACCTCTTTTCACAATAAATTTTTTAAAAAAAAACATTATTTTAGTGGTCGACCATCCAGTTCACGTCCATATCGATTTCTATTTTTCCCATCCACTGTTTAAACTCGTATTTCTTCCTATTTTTATTTCTCAGTATTTTTTTTTAGAACAGCCACAATTTCCATAATTTATTCAATCTAAATTTTTCTAAAGCCTCCGTCCATGGTTACTCTCAAAACTTCCAAAATTTTATTTCTTTTGTTCATTTGTTCTTAAAAGAGAAAGAGATGTTTACTGTATTACAAGGAAATAATGCTTCCAAAATTTTATTTCTCGTTCATCCTATTCTTGAGAGAGATGTTTACTGTAATGTAAGGAAATAACTGTGAGTGATGAGAAAGATGTTTATTGTATTGTGAGGAAATAGTTGTGAGTGATCAAACTGTAACTCTACCTTTTTAGTTGTGAGTGATCAAATTTTCAATCTACGCTTTTTTAGAGGGTTGTGGTTTTTTAGAGGGTTGTGATTTTTTAGAGACATGTTTATTGTATTATGAGAAAATAGTTATGAGTGATCAAACTGTAAATCTACTCTTTTATAGAGTTGTGTGTTCCTACAAAATTCAGACAATTGTACGGTTTGATCCTGAGTCGTGGAAAGGTGTTATGAGAAAATAGTTATGAGTGATCAAACTGTAAATCTACTCTTTTATAGAGTTTGTGGTATATTCCTACAAAATTCAGACAATTGTACGGTTTGATCCTGAGTCGTGGAAAGGATTGAGTTTACTCTTGAACTCGTAAAAAGAGCGATGTAGCGATTGGGCTCAGATCCAAAGAAAGAGTCGAGAAAGGTTTATTCAAATTCACAAGAGGCTCTTAGGTAGTGGAGTAGGTCGAGTTTGATCGAACCACTGTAAAACCACGGTGTTATATTTTTTAACTCTTTTTTATTTAACTTTGAAATTGTTTTAAGATTTATTGCATGTTCTAAGTTTCTTTTATAATTGTTCATTGTATTTTATTGTATTAATTATCATGTTCTGCTCATTAAAAAAAAAAACTTCGTAATTAGAAAAAATTAATCACTTTTAAAAGATTTTAATATTAAAACCCTATTCACCCCCTCTAAGATGTCATATTGATCTAACACTCTTATCATGCAAGTTGTTTAGTGGAATTACATCAAGTGTCGTCTTATTCTTGCGGTTGTTTTCAACTATCCCAGTCATTTTTTGTTGGATTTTTTGTCAATTTATAAATTGTTGAGCTTTCCTTTGTCTCTGCTAGATACTTCAAGCTATCATTGATGTTGAATTCTGTTGGTTATTTATTCTCAACATTATAGTTCCCTTGTGAACATTCACCAATGTTATTTAGTCATCGAGCATTGCCACAATGCTAGTCTATAAAAACATTAGTCATCGAAGTTAATTGGGCATGACTAAAGGTCAAAACATAAACTACAAGTACACCTTGGGTCTTTTTTTTTTATTATTGTTCCTCACATTAGCCTCCTGAGAGTTGTTAAGATGCTCTTCTTTCTAGGATCTCATATACTTCATTGTATGTCTTTCATAGAATTGCCTCATTGGGGGAAGTATCCACCACTTGTTTTGTAGCAATGTTCAATCCATTATATAAAGTCTCCATTTGTATATATTGAGTTAGTCCACGATGAGGTCATTTTTTAAACTTCTTCTTGAATCTCTCCCAAGCCTCACTAAGTGTCTTATCTTCAAACGGATGAAAAACAACTATTTCATTTATGAACCATGCATTTCTAGTGGGTGAAAAGTACTTATAAAAAATTTCTCTACTAGACTATTCCAAGAATCTATTGCTCCAGATGCTAAGGTGTTCAACCATGATTTGCGCATCCCTCAAAGAATAAGGGAATAAACTCAGTTGATCACATCTCTATCAACTTCTTGGAACCGAAATGAGTCACTCAATCTCAAAAAATATTTTATATATAAATGAGGATCTTTTGATGTAGCCTATGAAACTACCCAATAGTTTGTAGTATTTGAAATAACATGAGCTTTAACTCAACAATACTTGCTTTCATTTGGGTATAATAATACATAAATTTATCTCTTCCACAAATGGGTATGCATATGTTCATGTTGCTATTATCGTCTAATTTGCTAAGGGAATACTATTAAGTAGGGATTTTCGCTAGATTATCCATCACTACTTAATTTTCAAACTCAAGATTTCATTGGACTCAAAGGTCTCCTTGTAGTTTATTGTTGGGAATAAACTTAAATGAAAAAAAAAAAGAAAAGTAGTTTTTAATTTTCTTAATTTTAGTAAGATTTTTGAAATTGAGTAGTAGGAAGGAAAAGGAGAAGAAAGATAGAGTGCCAATAATCAGTCTAGGAGAGAGTGGGCTATGAGAGAGCTAAATTTAGATTTTAGAAAATCTATAAATTAATTAGTTTTCCAATATAAAAAGCAGGGCAAGAGCATAGGAAGAGTAGAGCAAGAGTTAAGTATATTTAATAGATAAGGGCTTTTCAGAATTTCTTGTCTTCTTGTCTCTCTCCTCTCGACTTCTCCTTCGCAGCCTCGTGAGTATTATTTTAACAAGTTACTTTCAGAGCGAGCGTTTATTTCTACCAATTGATATCAGAATGAATTGTTATTTTCTACAAATTGGTATCAGAACGAATTTTATTTCAACAAATTGGTATTAGAGCCGATAGTGAACATGATGGGACAAATGTCGCTACCACGATTGATGATGATGAACTACGAGAATTGGAGCATCCAAATGAAAGCTCTTCTCGGTTCTCAAGACATATGGGAGGTGGTTAAAGAAAGTTTCAAAGAACCGAAGAATACCACGGGTTATACGGCGGCGCAAAACAAGGCGCTAAAAGAATTACGATCAAAGGACAAGGCAACATTATTCATGCTGTTCCGGGCTGTTGACGAGTCGGGCTTTGAGAAGATTGCAAGGGCAACTACTTCAAAAGAAGCGTGGGACACTTTAGAAAAGATGTTCAAAGAAACCGATCGAGTTAAGCAGGTGCGTCTCCAAACTTTGCGTGGCGAGTTGGAGAGCATGAAGATGAAGGAGTCAAAAATGTATCTGACTACATCACACGCGTACAGACCGTGGAAAATAAACTAAATCAAAACGGAGAAATGTTACCCGAGACGCGGGTTGTGGAGAAGATCTTAAGGTTGTTAATAGACAACTTCGAGAATGTTGTATGTGTCATAGAAGAGTTGAAGGACCTAGCAACGTTCACGGTCGATAAGCTCGCCAGTTCTCTCGAGGCACACAAGCAACGTAAGAAAAAGAAGGAGGAGACACTCGATGAAGCGCTTTAGACTAAGGCATCAATAAAGGATGAAAAGGTACTCTACTCTCAAAATACTCATGGTAGAGGTTGAGGAAGTCGCAGGAATGGTCTGTTGACTCTGGCAAATCGGATGTCGACGAAAAAATTGGCCGAAGGTTTCTTCGAAGGAAAAATTAGCGGAAGTAAAAGGAGAGAGAGAGAGAGATTCGCTGGTAATGCTGAAGACTCGATATATTTATTTTACATCCGTTGAATGGTTTAAATAATAAATCTAATTACAAAAATAGAAAAACCAAATATACAAAAATAGAATAAGTGGACGAAGACTCCGCCACTCTGCCAAAACAATGGCCCCTAGAATCACGCTCCTCCATTCGCGTGAACTCATATGTTTTTACAAACCTAACTAAATAAGGCAGAGCTTTTATTTAACAATCTCCTCCTAAAAGCTGTACCTTATTATTTGAACTCCGATCTTTGAGCGTAGTTCTTCAAATTTCACCCGCGCCAGGGACTTGGTGAAAATGTCTCCAAGTTGTTCCTCTGTTCGGATGAAATCAATTTTGATGAGCCCTCGATCTGCACATTCTCGAATGTAGTGGAATCTGATTTCTATGTGCTTGCTCCGGTCGTGCAAAACTGGATTTTTGATCAGGGAGATCGTAGCTTTGTTGTCTACGTATAGCATTGGTGGATCGCTTTCTCTCCCGATGAGTTCTTCCATTAGTCGTGCAAGCCAGATCCCTTGAGTTGCTGCCATCGAAGCGGCGATGTATTCTGCTTCGCAGGAAGACAAAGCAACTACCTTCTGTTTTGTTGATTGCCAGCAGATCGCGCCGCCTGAGAGAAAGTAGATCATTCCGCTGGTGCTCTTACGATCATCAACGTCACCGGCCATGTCACTATCGCTGTAGCCGACCAGTTTGAGTTTCTCCTTTTCGCTCCCAGCGCAGTATCTTACGCCCCAGCCTCTGGTTCCGGCTACATAGCGCAGGATGCGCTTGACAGCCACTAGATGCTCCTCCCTAGGTGCTTCCATAAACCTGCTCACATATCCAACAGAATAAGCAAGATCAGGACGAGAGTTTACCAGATAGCGCAGACTCCCGACAATGCTGCGGTAATTGGTGGAGTCGACTGTCGTCGTAGTACCGGCCTTCCTTAGTTGAAGTCGGGCCTCCATTGGCGTCCTGGTAGGATTACTGTCCACAAGCCCAGTTGTGTCCAGCAGCTTCCTCACGTATGCACTTTGGCAGATGGAGATGCCGGAAGAGTTCTGTTGCACTTCGATGCCGAGGTAGTAGCTGAGCACACCGAGATCGCTCATCTCGAAGTTTTTCGACATCTCCTTCTTGAACCTTCCGAGGACTCCCACGTCGCCTCCAGTGATTATGAGGTCGTCGACGTACACTCCCACGATCAGTCGCTTTTTGCCGTGGCCGTACGTGTACATGCCATGCTCAGAGGCACAACGTTTGAAATTCAGTGACAGTAGGGTACTGTCGAGCTTCGCGTTCCAGGCTCGTGGGGCTTGTCGAAGCCCGTAGAGTGCTTTGTGCAGGCGCAGTACCTTATTAGGGTTATCGTTATCCAGGAAGCCAGGTGGTTGTCGAACATAGACGGTCTCCTTCAACTCTCCGTTAAGGAAAGCAGACTTTACGTCCATATGGTGAACCTCCCAAGAGTGATGTGCTGCAATTGCCAGCAGGAAACGAATGGATTCTAACCTTGCTACTGGCGCAAATACCTCTTCGAAATCCACTCCTTGCTTCTGGACGTAGCCCTTCGCCACCAGACGAGCCTTGTGCTTCACAACTTCTCCTTTTTCGTTGCGCTTCAGTTTGAAGACCCATTTGAGCCCTATGGCTCGGTGTCCCGGTGGCATATCCTCCAGACTCCACGTCTGGTTCTCAGTGATGGATGTCATCTCCTCCTGCATTGCCTTCCGCCAGCACGGGTTCTTTTCTGCTTCAGCGAAGGTGTTTGGTTCATCTGCACTGACGGCATGTAGTTCGGCCACTTCCTCGAGCTCGCGCGCTGCTAGTCCAGGTGGTTCACCTCCTCCCACTAGGTCATCCATCCTCCGGTACCTAGCCTCCAGATCAGTATCGTGATCGGCATCCAGCGTCGAATCCGCAGTCCGTGGTGTTGCGAATTCCACTGGTTCAGGTGGTGCACCTGCTGGCGGCGGTGACGTCTCCTGATGCTGGGCTCCTCCTTCTTCAGGCTCGGTGACGAGGTACTCCACCGTGAATTGATTTGGATTACGGTCTGCCTCGATCACGTCATTCCACTGCCAGAAGGTGCTTTCGTCGAAGACGACGTCGCGAGACACGTGAGCTCGCCCCCCCACAGGATCATAGAGTCTGTACGCCTTGCTCCCGGGTTCGTAGCCGATGAAGACGACCTTCAGCCCCCTGGGATCGAGCTTGGCGAGATGGGGACGTGTTACCTTCATGTATGCGACGCAGCCGAACACGCGAAAATGATGTACTGTTGGTTTTTTGTTGTACCAGGCTTCATATGGCGTCTTCCCGTCGAGGCTTCGGGTTGGTGACCGATTGAGGAGATAGACAGCCGTCATTACTGCCTCTCCCTAGAATCTCCCAGGCATCCCGGCCGTCACCAACAATGACCTCGCTGTCCCGACAATGGTCTGATTTCGGCGCTCTACCACTCCGTTCTGTTGGGGGGAGTAGGGCGCCGTTAGGTGCCGTTGTATGCCGATCTCGTCGCAGTACTTACTGAAACTTGCCGAGGTGAATTCTCCGCCTCGGTCTGTGCGCAGCACTCGCATCTTCTTCTCACATTCGGCCTCCGCTCGCGCTTTAATGCGCTTAACCGCCTCTGCCGCCTCACTTTTCGCTTGCAGCAGAGTCAGCCACATGAAGCGGCTTTTGTCATCGACTAACAGGAGGAAGAGACTCTTACCGCCTGGGGTCGCCGGCTTGATGGGCCCGCAAATATCACCGTGTACAAGCTCCAATGGCTCATCGGCTCGGTAGGCTGTTCGAGACGGAAAGGGTGTGCGCCTCTGTTTGCCTATGAGGCACCCGTCGCACAGCTTGTTCACGCCTTTGATTTCTGGCAAGCCGTGCACCAACTCCTTCTTCTGTAGCTTTTCTAGGGCAGGAAAGTTTAAGTGTCCGTACCTTGCGTGCCACCTCCAAGATACCTCTTCGGTCTTGGCCGAGAGGCTAACGGGTTGGTCTATCTCTAACTCCAGGATGTAAAGACGGTTTGTGGTGCGCCTTGCCTGCGTGAGCAGCCGTCGTTGATTATCGCAGATTTTCAGTAGTCCGCGCTCGATGGAAATGAAGCAGCCTGTCTCATCGAGCTGACCCAGGCTCACAAGGTTAGCCTTGAGCCTCGGGATGAAGTAGACGTCGGTCAGCTTGCGATGCTCGCCTCCCTTACTGACGAACAGGATGGTGCCGCACCCTTCGATCTCGACGACG